GCTTGATTTTAGGAATCAAGATGGCACAAGATAGTCCAAACTTTAATGATCACACCACACTGGTGTGGGGATATGTCATAGTCTAAAACTTTTTAATCTTATCTACTCATTTATCTGTGATTTGAATGTAATGTGATATGTTTGGCATGGTCTCTGAACCCTATCACAACTGTGTCAGTAGAGAATCTTACAGTTGTGTCAGAATTTAACTTTTAAGACTGAGTGAATAATGTTACTGTTAATTTGAATTTTAAAAAATCAGTTTCCCAAAGGTTTTCACAGTCATAGTTCATAACCCCATTCAAAACTGATTTATGTTAACACACTTGTGGAAAACTTTGAAGACGGTATCAGAACATGCTATAAATTTGCCATATATTGCTTCCTTTATGGTCTCCCGTCCAAATACTAAACAGGGCTAGTCCTGCTTAGCTTCTAAGATCTGACAAGCCTGAGCCATTGAGGTCAGTGTGTGTGTTATATAGTTATATAGATTTAGATATTGTTTAGAATTTGTTGTTGCTGTTGTTAACCATTCACTTGTGTCCAACTCTTGGCAATTCTATGGGCCAGCTCTTGTCATGTTTTCCGAGCTTGTGCTGTTTTTTTAGTCGTTCCATGCTCAGGCTGGTGTCAACTTTAGAATAGCTGTAAATAAATGTATTACACATCATTAACAAGAGCACATTCTATACATATTGATGTGAAACTCATAATGGCTTTCAAACCATTATTTTTCTTACCTAGACTACCTGTTCATGTCAGTATCAATTTATATTAAGTTGCTTTTCATCACTCTAAGAGGGTACAGTGAAATCAATGTTTACTGACATTTACTTATCACAATCTAGTTCTGCCAAGTTTGTGCATAAAATTTAAATAATAAAAGACATCCAGTTACAGACACAAAATGCAGTAGAATAAGTTCAGAGCATAGCATAGCTGTACAACTGTTTACAGAAGGAATGTTTTTAATCTTAGCACATGGACACAAAAGCCAAATGTTTGAGGCCAGCAATGCAGTAGTGTATTGCTGGTTTTGGATATGGCATCCCTGGATTCAACTCCCAACTCAGCCATAATGTTCACTGGAGGACTTGGAGCAAATTGGTTTCTGAGTCCAGTCAGTGTCTCATAGGTTTGTTGCGAGGAAAACGTACAGGACTTCTATATATAGATAATTCATTTCCCAAGCTTCCATCACAATCTAGTGTGACCAAGAAATAGAACTGAGGATAGAAAATAGAGATTCAGGTGTGAAAACAGGAATTGTTGGGATCATTGAAAAGTAGACTTTACCCCATCCCTGACTGGTATCCTTGAAGTAGATTCAGGTGGGTAGCCGTGTTGGTCTGAAGCAGCAGAACTAAGTTTGAGTCTGGTGGCACCTTTAAGGCTAACAAAATTTTATTCAAGGTATAAGCTTTTGTGTGCACTCACACCTTTATCTGAATCTGTATCTGAAGAAGTGTGCTTGCACACAAAAGCTTATACCTTGAATAAAATTTTGCTGGTCTTAAAGGTGTCACTGGACTTTTCCTTTTTCCTTTACGGTTGTGATTTACTCCTGTGTGGAAAAGTAAAGCACTGCACCGGGGAGTGGGCCCATTGCTACAGCAAGGACAGAAGCTCTTCTTAATCCTTCAGTGGTCTGATCCTGACCCACAGCAGGTTGTTTGTGTTTCCGTGTACAGAATGCACAATGGTCTTCTGCACGTCCCTGTGCTCTTTGAAATATACAAGCCCTCATTCCATGTGCACTGTTGCCCAGAAAAATGGTGTGTACTTCACTAGTTAATAATACCAAGATGTTTTGGCTTTCAGAAACCAGAAGTCACAAAAGTTGCTAGTAAGTTACAAACAAACTGGAGACAAGCTGGGGTTCCACTGTAGAAAGGAGGACTGCTAGTTCCTGTCTTTCTCCTACTTATCTTTCACTGGCCAGACCCTGTATTTCCTGAGGATACATATTGACAGAATCCCACAGTACGCAGCCAAAAAAAGATGACATCTGTACACACCCCAAATCTGCTGAGAGCACTTGCAGAAGGACTTTTTTTTTAAGTATCATATTAGTAATCCTGAGTGTCTAGACAGAGGCAGTTGTGAGTTTCTTTTCTGAGCCAAGTAACTCAGTCAAATCTATTTTTTAAATTGTTTAGCCAGCTAAAGGGAGTGCTATGGAACATGGCAAGTGCCCATCTTTAAAGGAATTGTGCTAAAGTTAGAAACCTGATTTAGGTTACATACTGCAGCTGTTTCCTTTTTTAAATGTGCCCTGGACAAGTTTGTGTGGATCAGATGCAACCTACGAAAGAGAACAGGCAAGACGAGGAAATTAAGGTCACAAACAGGTCTCTGGATGGTTTGCACTTTGGGAATAATGGGAAGTTCTGTTTCTCTTGAACAATGCACAGGAAACACATTCTCTATGGGGGGAAATTGCTATTACAAACAGCTACCCAACAATGGATACAAGCAGTGTGAACCTTTAAGTCAGGGATTTGAACAATGCTATTGGCCTGGATTATCAAGCAGAACAGACAGACGGATAAACAATGAGCTTCCAATCTGTTTCTTGTGGTTTCTGTTTTCCTGACTGCAGGGCTTTGAGAAATTCTTTCAGAGGGTGTTTTAGGAATTGTTATAGCAGACAGAAAAAAATGAACTGCAGGCTGTGCTTATTAGTGCTTTCAGTATTTTGCATCTGGAGTTCAGATGTATTTGTTTGCCCACTTAGAAATGATCCTAAATATAAGGCAGTGCAGAGCTGTATGTTGCCTCAGGTATCTTTGGGAAGAGAAGTGAATATATGTATGTATGTATGTATGTATGCATGCATGTATTCCATTACGTATTGGCCATTGCCAGCTCTCCCATTGGCTGTGCAGTGCGCTCCATCAGCCATTGGCCCATCAACCACCACTCAAGAATAATCACGTGCCATTGGCTGGGTGCTGGGTCCGCTCCTCTTCCCTGCCCACTGCCACATCAGCCACTGTTCCCTGTCAGAATAACTGCCAAACAGCTGTCTCTCCTAATGAAGACACTTCTGCTTGGCTCCTGTGGGACTATGGCTCCTTTTCCTTCAGTGGCTGTTGCTATGCAGCCAAGCTTGGTTCTGTCACTAAAAAGACATAGGGCTTTGTGGGGAACTCATTGGGGCCAGTCCTGACTAGGGTTGCCAGCTCCAGGTTGGGAAATGTGAGGAATGGAGCCTGGAGAGGGTGATGTTTGAGGAGGGGTGGGACCTCAGACAGGCACAGTGTCATAGACTCCGCCCTCCAGACCAGCCACTCCCTCCTGGGGAACCATTATTGTCAATCCCCAGGTGAGGACTGCAGATCACTCAGAATTACAACTGCTCTCTGGGGGGGGGGAGATGGAAAGCTGAAGTCAGAGTAGCAGATAAAGATAGGTTGATGGTTGGCTAGGAAGGAGATAGGGTTGCCAACTCCAGGTTGGGAAATTCCTGCAGATTTGGAGCCTAGAGAGGATGAGTTTTAAGGAGGGGTGGGACCTGAGACAGGTACAGTGCCATAGATTTCACCCTCCAAACCAGCCATTTCCTCCTGGGGAAGCATTGTTGCCAATCTCCAGGTGAGGGCTGGAGATCAGAATTACAGCTGCTCTCCAGGAGGGAGGAGATGAAAAGCTGAAGTCAGACAGGCAGATAAAGATAGGTTGATTGTTGGCTGGGAAGGAGATAGGGTTGCCAACTCTAGGTTGGGAAATTCCTGGAGATTTGAGGGGTGGAGCCTGGAGAGGGTGGGGTTTGAGGAGGGGTGGGACCCGCCTCAAAATTACAACTGCTCTTCAAGTAGCAGAGATCAGTTCCTCTAGAGAAAATGGTGGCCTCTGTGTCATTATATCCAGGTGAGGTTGCCACAGCAGATTGACGCTGAGTATCCAAGGCTGGGGCAATCTCCCAGAGCCTCGTTCTAGATCTCATTGTATTTATTTCCACAATGAGCCTTATTCCTAGTATATATATATTTCTGAAACATGATCCGCTTGCTTATGAGAGGGCTAGATGGAGTTATGGTAAATGCACATGGGCCTCCCATTCCCTGCAGTGCCTTTTTGCACTGCCTGTGTCCATGTTCATAATGAAAGGGAACTCCTGGAAAGGGAACTTCTCCAAGCATGGGCACCACACTTACTCCCAATGGATATAAAATGCATATGGAGTCTTCAGCTTGAAATTGTATAATCCTGTCATAAGGTATGCATTTACAAATGTACCTCTTTATGAATATAGATAGAATTTCCTTGAGGCTGAAAAATGGAGAGTAGCTACTCCTTATTCCTCTTCTGCGCGTTTCCTGACTTGGGATAGGATGCTGGGGCCAAGTTTCTGAGTCTCTGCCCAGGAGCCTAATGTGTTATCCAGCCACAGAGGGCATCAGTTTCAGGTCCAGAAATAGAAATCTTTGCACTACTTTGTGTTCAGAACTTTTTTCACACTGAATATATTATGTGTTACCAACATTATGTGACCGCTTCTACTTTTTTAGTAATTTTTCTGAGAAATTAATTCTGTCTTAGAAATGTATGGTTTTTTTCCTCTTAGAAAGAAATCATGTTACCGCATGCTTTTTTAAAAGACTGAGATATTTTGGAGACAAATAACCAACTGCAAGTGGATGTGAATGTTTACATTTCTCTTTGTTGCCCCCCCCCCGCCAAATTCTCCTTGAACCAGAGGGGGGATTGAAATGAGTGGCTGTTTTAACTGAGCAGTGCATGGCATAAATACGACCTTGGTTCATTCAATTTCTGTATTTCAAACCAAATAGCATTCTCATCTTTAACTCTGAGACTGCTCTTTGAAAAAGACAGGACTTGTTCTTAAAAAGTAATGGGCTATGGCTGAGTGTAGGCAGCGTGACTGTTTTATGTGTGGTCAGACTATAGATCATGCATCACTGCAAAGTTTTAAGGAATGCTTCAGATTGAAAGATATGAACCTTAATTTTTTTCCCTTGTATTTCTAAAAGGTCAAATGCTGTAAATACTGGCCGGATGACACAGAGATATATAAAGACATTAAAGTTACTCTGATAGAAACAGAGCTCCTGGCCGAATATGTGATTCGAACGTTTGCGGTAGAAAAGGCAAGTGTTCATAGATATATTTTCTCAGTATGTTTCTCTAATGTATTTAGTCATGTCGCTGTTAAAGTTGTCATGTCTTTTGAGAAATGCAAGTTAACCCACTTTCTAGACTCTTTTGTGGCTAGTCCTCTACTGCCTCCTAGTGGCAAGGACAAGTTTTCCAACTTTTGTCTTCCTCCTTTTCATTGACTGATGATATTGAAGAGGGAAATAATGTAATTGTGATAGTATTTTTTAAAAGGCTTGTGTTTGGCTCTGTTTTCTTTAAAATGTTTGACTGAAGCTGGGTTTTTTTTCTGCCCCTGTTCTTTTTTTATTCCCTGTTGGATGACCAGAGAGGTGCCCATGAGATCAGAGAAATCAGACAATTTCACTTCACAGGCTGGCCAGATCATGGTGTGCCTTACCATGCAACAGGACTTTTAGGATTCGTACGGCAGGTCAAGTCCAAAAGCCCACCTAATGCAGGCCCACTGGTTGTACACTGCAGGTAACTAGCATGAAAGAGATTCCTTCAGGCTGTCTAGCTGAGAAAACCACTAGTTTAATTTTGTCCCATTCAACTGGACCCAACAACATAACTTGTATGTCATTTTCTCAAGTACAGCTGGTGATAAACTGCAGTTGGTGCAAAGTTGCAGTGATTTTTTTTTAAATTTTGAACAGTTTATTGAATTCAAAATGGTTACAAAAATGTTCTTATTAAGAGCTTGTCTTCCAATGTGCCTAAATGTCACAAAATCTTGCAGAAGGGATTGAGGGCCAATGCAAATGTTATAGAAGCCATGTGGAGGATACTTCTATGGAACAAACAACATGTTATGTGTGCCATGTTGTAACCATGGGGATTTGCAGCAGGACAGAACTGTGGTCAGAACTGTAATGTGGGAGAAGGAAGGGCTTCCCCCATGTCACCTTCCCAACATGAAAATTTTGCCCTGTTGGGGGGGCACAAGGCAATTAGTGCCCCCAGCACTGTTTCAGCTCAGTAGCACCAGAGAAGGCAGGATCCCCACTTTCCCCAACCATGGTCCCAACCAGGTAGCATATGGCTGCAAAATAGCATGGTGGGAACCATGAGGAAAATGTAATGTGTAGTTTGGCCCTATATGATGGCATTCCACATGGGCAGCTATAGTATTTGCATGTGAATCATGGTAAGTGGCATATTGTTGTTACATCAGTCACATGCACTGCTGCCATATGGAAGCATGCATAGTGCAACATGCAGACTGGTCAGTAGAGTACAATACAACATAATGAATTGGAACTGACTTTTCACCAAGGAGGTTTTAATGTTTTGCCATCATATTCACTATCTAGAAGTATTTGACTCAGATGAATCCTAAATGAATTCTAAAGTTTTTAGAAATCTAATAAGAATACACTGGATTTATCTTGTCCAGTCATACAGCAGAATTTTCTGGGCAGCTCACAACACAACTATAACAATTTAAAAGATTAAAGCATATATTAAAACACTGTAGCACCAAGTTGTAAAGTAATTTTATGTAAGTAGAATTGTCATGATCGTTATTAAGTATGCCGTTTCAGAAAGACCAGTGTTTTCAAATTCCACCATGAGAAGAGTCAGCCATTATGGCTAACATCCATTGATAGAAATATCCAGGGGTCGTTTCGTTGAAAAAGAGTTAGGGGAACTCATTAGCATAACTTGTTAGCATATGCCACACCCCCTGACATCACCGGAAGTGTGTCATAAGGCCACACACCCCACCCCCCAACAGTCCCGGCCGCCGCCGGCCTTGCAGCTCTACTGCCGAGCCCCATCAGGGGCCCGGCGGTGGACCTGCAAGGCCAGCAGGAGTGCAAGGAAGCCCCGCAAAGGCCCTCCCTGGCCCCAGGCAGGCAGGGGTGGGGAGAGGCAGGGAGGAAGCAACTTACCCTCCCTCTTCTCCTGCCTCCTCCTGGCTGAATGAGGGCCGGAAGCGGGGCGGCCAGAAGCAGGGGCGGGGCTTCGTCATGTGCCCTGCCTCCCGTACCTCACCTGGGGGAACTGCGTTCCCCCGTGATCCACCCCGAAATGACCTCTGGACATATTCATGAATTTGTTTTTTAAAACCTAGTGACCATCACCACAGCAGTTAATTCTTCAAGTTTAACTGCATGGTGCACAAGGAAGTACTTTTTAATGGGTCCTACATTTACCATTCATATTTTCTGAAAATCCAACTGATGCTAATTATGCTTTGTATTTTAGTGCTGGTGCTGGCAGAACTGGATGCTTCATTGTCATTGACATTATGCTAGACATGGCAGAAAGAGAAGGTGTTGTAGATATATACAACTGTGTTAGAGAGCTTCGGTCTCGAAGAGTTAATATGGTGCAGACTGAGGTACTGTGATAACAATTCCCCTGCTGGATTTCTTAACGTTCTTTGTGATAGAAATGCAACTTATTTTACCAGGGGCTGGAAACTAAATTATTTTCAGTTTGATGTTAAATGCCAGATGTATGTAAGCCCATAGACACGGATCCCACACAGGAGGCTGCTAATGTACATTAGATAGGGCAGGGTGGAGAGAAAGGCCATCCAGGGACCAAGAAATTAGTATTGAGACTGGGGTGAGAGTCAGGGGGCCATTGGACACTGGGATGTTTAGGGAGTTCAGGAAAGATTGTGCTGTTTGAGAAGAGGTTCCAAAGGAAGAGTGGGAAATAGCTTGACTGCAACACTGGGCTCTACTGTTCCAGGCACAGGGCAGCAACATGATGGAAAATGTGAAGTTCACGAGGGGCAAGAAGCTCATGTGAGGAAGAACAGGAAGTTGTCTGTGGGAGGATATCGTGAGCTAGCCTCCAGCTCACACATTCTTGTCTTCGCTCAGGAAGTATGGCGCCAGAGCAAACCAATTTATGCAGTAACCAAATCACCTGCTCACAGCTTTAATGCCAGCAGCTCACAAAGTAGCTTAGAGGGAGCCTTGCTCATATGGTGGTCGTACCAGCTCCCCCTCCTCCTCCCCCTCCACCTGACTGCCTGTCCAGCTCAGTTGGCAGTGGCAGCTCCTGCTCCCTTCTCCTCCACTAAATTCCAGGTGGCAGGGGTGGTCCTTTACATTGTCTGCACAGACAACCTTCCTCTCTTTAGTGGGGTGGGATTTTTAAAAACCTTCCTTTTTTACTTTTCAGTTTTCTGCTAACCTAGAGGAGGGTCCCCCAGGTCTGCAGAAGACCCTATCTGAAACTGGCCCCATTCTCTGGGTTTTTCTATCTACATGGGGACCAGGTTCAAAATTAGACGTATGATTATTAATGGCTGTCATTAGATTTCCAAAACAAGTGCAGTTAAAAGCAGCATTTAATCTCTTTTTTTGAAAAAAAATTGATAATCACTGGATTCAGTTATAGTGCTACCATAAGTAGGCTACTCAGAATCCTACTCAGGTCTATTTAATGGGGCTTAGAACCAGGAAAAAGCTCTTAGGTTTGCAATGTTAAGTACTGTAATTTGCACGGGCACTAGCAGTGTGTTCATATTAAGCTGATCTTTGTTTTCTCCTTCAGGAACAGTATGTATTTATACATGATGCAATACTGGAAGCCTGTCTGTGTGGAGACACATCTGTTCCAGCTTCTCAGGTTAGGTCTGTGTATTATGAAATGAACAAATTGGATCCTCAGACAAATTCAAGCCAAATCAAAGAAGAATTCAGGGTAAGTCACGGACAACATCACATTTCTAAAGTCAAATGATACAAAAAGTCCCTTTGATGTCAACAGGCTTTAGGTCTTTAATTTGTTTTTTTTTGGGGGGGGTTAAACCTGGCAACCCAGATTTTACCATAACTTTCAGGAGCATAGATCAAGCTTGAAAATGAAATTCTGGGATATGTGGACCTGTACTTCTGAAGCTTCTTCATCTCATATATCACTTACCTTGTTTTGTAGACTCTGAACATGGTGACTCCGACTCTGCGTGTGGAAGACTGCAGTATAGCACTTTTACCGCGGAATCATGAGAAGAACCGATGCATGGATGTCCTTCCTCCAGACAGATGCCTACCTTTCCTTATCACAATAGATGGGGAAAGCAGTAACTACATTAACGCTGCACTGATGGATGTAAGCTCCTCTCTGGGTGTTAACTGTTAAGAAAGAATGCACTGCTCAACAAACTGGAAAGTGCCAGAAAGCACAGTCAGCACAATCTTCCTAATTTGCTTTACCGAAAAATGACACAAAATCTTTAAGCGCTCAAATACATTTAAGATCCCACATATGTTATATCACAGCCCAGGTCTGAAAGCTTTATTGAGAGCACTAATCAATGGGGAGGGGAGCTTATTGACAAGTGAAATTTGCCTAGCCGCCTCTTTACTAGTACTTAAACCTTTAACTAGAAAGCTTACGAAGAGAAAAGGTTATCCACAAAGGCAGCTAAGTGCATAATAAGGTTTGCGGCAATATTTTAGTTTCCTCTACGCCTAATTTTCATAGCAATTAAGAAAGAAAAAAAATAATTGCCTGTCAGCCTGGATAGTACACAAGCCATTACCTCAGTCACTTTGTTCATTTCTGACTGGATGAACATTTCTGTTCTGAGTGAATATTTCTTTTTCTTCGTCTTCTTCTCCAACCACAGCCATGGAGATTTTAATAGCACTTATAGGCTATCAGTAGAAGGATACTTAAACATGTTTTATGCTCTCTAGAGATGGAAAAGAGTATGTCTGACATTTTGGAGCAACACTAATTAATGCTGTCACGCATACATACACACATGCCAAGAAAGCAGTCTTTGAAAACAAATGAACACATTCTTAAATAACTTTCCATAAAAGTAATACTTGGGGGAAAAGAAATATAAGAAATTTGCATTTATATAAGATTCTCTAAGTATTATCTTTATGCTAATAAAGGTGTAGGGAGGGGATGCGCAGCATGTAGGGCGGCAGCATCATAATACTCATTGCACTGTCACTCATTGGTTGGTAACTTCCGCATATGACTCATGTGGGACATGGGCCCCAGTGGTGCTGAATTAAATGTCTTCAGTTATTGTTGTTTTCTGACCTTAATACTGGTTAAGCATAGGACTGTGACCAGTGTTCCCTCTAAGCTGAGTTAGTGTGAGCTAGCTCACGGTTTTTTAGCCTCCGGCTCACACATTTTTGTCTTAGCTCAGGAAGGATGGCTCCAGAGCAAAGTAATTTATGCAGTAGCCAAATCACTCTCTCAGAATCTTAATGCCAGTAGCATACAAAGTAGAATCTTTGCTCACAAGACTCCACAGCTTATAGGGAGCATAGGACTGTGACTGTGTTATACCAGTTTTAAATCTTGGCAGCCATCTTAGCTGGACCATAGGATTTCCCTATGTGTACAGGTAGCCACATAATACATGCTTAAATGGTTTCCAGCAGCATTATAACCAGATCTTGATTAGGATTCCCTCTTCCCTTGCTGAACCCGTTTTACTGGTGGTGCTCTATCAGTGTAAAAGTTCCACAAGGTGGCACAACAGTGACAAAGATTTACTGCACCAGTGTATCTTTGAACTATACCAGTATAGGGGAACATAAGAGTGATCCTATTCTGCACAGCAGGGATGAGTCATGAATAGGATCGCTCCGATAAATATTGAACTCCCAGTCAATAACAGCTGCTTCCATTAAATCTATAGAGATATCAAATTTCCCCAGTCTGTTTTGCTAGTAAAAACTGAATATCTTCTTTCTCTTTCATTTCCATGTTATTCTGAAGCTATTCGGTGCCACTGTTACTCATAGAAGCCCTAAAACCAAAGTATGGCCCTTAAGAATCCATCCAGAATTAGGCTAGAGCCCAAAATGACTGCCAAGTCTTGTTAGACTACACCATGCGATCTCAGCTGTAGGTCTGGTCTCCCAGAGAACCGCTGGCTAGAGTGGTGGCAGCATGGGAGAGAGTGGGAGCTGGAGCAGATGGGATGGAAGCAGAAAAAAGGGTGGAGAAAGCAGGAGCCCAGCAAAGGAGGAAGAAGCAGAGACAGTGCAAGAAAAGGGGAAGAGAGGAATTTGCCCTCTCCAGCAAGTTCTTGCTGTTCCTCTCATTATAGCTCTAATCCTGACAGTTTTGCTCAACACGATCATTATTCCTTTTGTATTACAGAGCTATAAACAGCCTTCAGCTTTCATAGTTACCCAGCATCCTTTACCAAATACTGTCAAAGATTTCTGGAGACTGGTTCTAGACTACCACTGCACATCAATAGTTATGCTAAATGATGTGGATCCTGCACAAGTAAGTCACTGTAACTAGTTGAATTGTAAAACTGTATGTTATAGTGCAATTTGTACATGGAAGTACTGTCACACATACATGCTTCAGAAGAGTCAAATTCCTCATAAAACACTGTGTAGTTTGTAATTAAGCACAGAGATGGGAAGAAGGAAAGATACGTAAGTAGAATTGTCATGAACACCTTAACCATAATATAAGCAGACTAACACAAGATTATTTGAGTAGAACCAATGCACAATAAAAGTGTTAAGAACAGATTATCTGTTTTAAAAAATTAATAATTGTAACTAAATGCAAAGAAACAATTGATATTTCAGATATACACAGTCATAAAATGGAAGTTTGCCCAATGTTTTCATTGTTCAATGCTGTTATGACAGATTTACCAAAGTCACAGTAACCAGCATCTTTTCAACACATTCTGTAATCTGAGAAAGCCCTTGCCATGCAGAATGTGATGCTCAGACTTAACCATACTGGTCTCCATAATTTTTAATAAACAGCAGCTTCTAAAGTCAATAATGCTTTAGGCAGTATGTGATGGAACAGTCCTGCAGCCCCTGTTCTACCCTGCCCTCCTGGGTTTTCTGGAGGGGCTTCTCTCTCTCTCTCTCTCTCTCTCTCGCTCTCTCTCTCTCTCTCCCCCCCCTCCCTCTCTCTTTCTGTTCAACTGCCACCATCACCTGAGTATTTTATTATTCAGCTAAAAAGTCCCTATGTGTTCAACAGGAGTACAAGATCTTGCACCATCAGCCTTGGCCTTATTTTTTATTGCAGTATAACAATAAACCATTGTTATTAAAAATGGGGAATTGCAGATTATCCATTCCTCATGTTCTGCAAGTTGACCACTCCATTCTGTGCTCTGATGGGAATGGTAAATTTGTGAATACAATAGTAGCCAAGCCTCACTACAATCCAACAAAAAGTACTGGGTACGTGGCTCCAGAGTAGCACGTAAAAAACTATTGACATCATTATGGAATTTTATTTCACAGTGCTGACAGCAAACATTAAGTGAGAAATCAATTAGAGGTATTCACATATTGCAAAGTATCAGTCCAAATAATTACACAATGTTGGTGATGTAAAAATCCAACTTGGCAGTAATTTACTGAGAAATGTTGTAAATCTTCATAGTAATCAGCAAAGGGATGTTGATGAGACAGGGTGCTGGCTCTTCTCCTGTTTCGACGTTTTCTTCTTCAAGACCAACCTTTCACATTTCAATTGTGGCACATCAGTAGCTTAACAAAATTAAAACAAAGTTTACTGCCAAACAGTTGTAACTGGCCAAACACATATAATTCCTCCCATGTAATAACAATAATAAAGTGATACCAACCTTTCATATTTCAGTTGTAGCACATCAATAGCTTAATGATGTTCTAAACATTAGTCGTAAAATGCTGACCTGTGGATCTATTATAATTAAGCAATATTACTTCATTATATTAAAAATTCACAAGTAGGGATGGGCACAAACTGGAAAAATGCAGTTCGGTTCAGTCCATGGTTCATGATTGAACTACAAACCGAACCCCAAACCAAACCAGGAGGCTTTTTTACTAACTGAACTGCAGTTCGTGGCCTGGCAAACCCTGTTGAAAGGCACCACAGTCCCTTTCAACAGGGTTTGCAGAAAGCCTGAAAAACAGCTGAGTGGCAGGGAGCAGCTGTTTCAGGCTGTCTTTTGTAGTCTCTAAAAACTTTAAAAGGGGTGCAGAAGACAGCCCAAAAAACAGTGGCCAGCAGAAAGGGGAAGATCCCCCGGGAAGGAACCGGGAAGGCCACGGTGATCAAATTGATCAAATTTGTATCCTGCCCTTCCTCAGAAGAACACAGAATGTCCTACATAGGGATTCTTATATCCAGGCTGTAAGGTACATTAGGCTGGAAAATAATAGCAGACCCAAGATCACTCAGAGGTCTTCACTGCTGAGAATAACCCAGGTCTCTCTGATCCAGGTTCACCCCTAGCTCCTATATCACATGTGAGAGCTCAGGTAACATTCTTCAGGGCTGAAGCACTGTGCTTGAGAGTTGCTATGACTTTCTTGAGGAAATGAACATTGGTCTGGACATTTTTTTAAAGGGGAATTTTTAATTGATTTTTTACAAACTACAAACTACAACTGAAAATATGGGAAGGGGAACTACATCTAAGGAGAAAAAAAAAAGGCCCACTAATAACTAAAAACCCAAGAGTATGAGATCATTACATCAGCTTAACTCAATGATATTTTAAAAAGCTAATAAAACAATGAACATAGTCGGTTATGCTAGGTTAATTAGCTTATAACTATTCATTTAACAGCTTAAAGAAACCCCCCGAGCATCCTAAAATCATTTCAGAGTTTTCAGGCACAAAGCAGAGTCCTTCAGCCACTATTTATTCTTCTCTTTTCTAATCCTCAATTTATATGAATTTTGGGGGGCATCCGCCCCCATTTCAGAGGGTGAGTCATCATCCGAAGACCCCAAGCCTAACTCGCCATCAGATTTGCTTTCTTCTTCTTCTTCCTTCTCGTCTGCAGCTGGTTCCTCGAGCTGTATTCGCAGAAAATCACGTGCCTTAAGAACAGAGTCAATCTTTTCTTTTTTATCGTGAAGTTTGAAAATGACGTCTTCTGGGATTAACCATCTGTAACTGATGCCATTTGTTTGTAAAAATAAAATTAGTTCTTTATAATTCTTTCTCTTCTGTCTTATATCAAATGGAATGTCTTTTAAAATCCTGATGCTGTTGTCCCCAGTTTTCAAGGGAGTTCCCGTAGTTGCTTTCAAAATAGAGTCTCTCACATGTCTCTTTGAGAATCTGTTGAAACAGTAGGACCGAATTAGCTTTCTCCATTTGCAGCTTCAAAAGTTTTGACTCTTCCATTGCTTGCTTCATTTCCAGCTTTTGCACCTTTTTCTTAACTGTTTTAGTATTGGCGTCCATTTCCTTCACCTTCTCCCCCATTTGCTCCATTGCTTTTAAGGATTGAATCAATTGTAACTGCTGTGAAGCCAAGCTTTGGCCAATTATTGACAGTTGTTGCTTGATATTAGTCATCTCATCCAGCAGAGGCCGCAAGGAATCTGCCAGCATTTTTGAAAGCTCAGTGGTCTCTTCCGTTCGAGGACTACCCACTAGTTTCGCTTTCAAAAGTTTTTCTTTCTCCGGTTTCTTCCCCACCATCTTTTTGGATTTGTTTACTTATCGAAAAGTTGCTAAAGTCTCTGATATTCGCCCAAATGCTTATCTGTGCTCTCGTAAGTCTCTGAAAACAGTTTCAAATGCTTATTTTTCAGCTCCCCCCTCTTTATTCGTGTTTTCGTTTATACGTTTCGGAGGGACCCCTCCCCCGCTCACTTCCCATCGCTCTTTAAGGGAGGCAGCATTCTTTTTAAATCTTCATGCTCGCTTCAACCCGACTCACAGTTTGTTGTTGGCCAACCGGCCTCACTCGGCATCGGTTTCTTTTCTGCCCGATCTCCAACGCTTGTACCGGTCAGCAGCACTCATTCCATACAGTCACTCAGTGGCAAGACCTTCGGGGCGGAGGAGCACCTCAATTCTCCAGCATCGCACCATCGAAGAGGTCGCCCCTCAAAAGCCCCCTGGCTAGGAGCCTTTTACCAAGGCTCCGGGGGGGTTTCGACCCGTCGCACCCCCTCCTACACGCTGGTGTGCAGTTTGCATCCCCGGGGCGTCCAGGAGATGCATCTGCCTGCATGTCGCCATATACCAGAAGTCTGTTTCAGACATTTTTGTAGGTGGAAAAGAGTTGGTATTTGTGCATCTCCATGTTCCTGGAATGTGTACCACATTGTGGCACAGAGCCTACAGATGTGGGGCAGGAGAGAGGCCAGATGGTAGCCTGTCATGATGGCTCCTGCCATCTGCACAAGAGCTGAAATAATATGGGCCTAGCCCTCTGTCAGGCATAAATTACCTCTCTGCTGCTCTTTCTGCCACCTGAAGTGGCTGCAATAGGAGGTGCAGGCATGTCCTAAGAGTCAGCTCTCTAGAAGCCCAAGAATCTGAATGCAAGCACTTTTCAGCTGACTGGAGGGTACACAGCACAAGTGCTTGATGTGCCCATCATGACAGCAGAATGGAGTGATGCAAGACAAATGCCAATAATTCTCCATGGAAATTCATTATTATTGACCCTGTTCCTATAATAATTCAGACTCACCGCGTGTTCAGTTTAATTAAATGCTTTTGCTAGCTAGTTGCATGTTGGATGCTTACTCTTTTTTGTATTTTTGGCATATTCATCATAAATCATTGTAATAGTACAAGAAAACCACAGAAGAATAATGGTGTCTTTTTCTTAACATAAGAAGTAGATGTTGTTGTTAAAAATCAGAATAAATGCCCCTTCTTACAAGTCAATAAATACCAATTGCGAACTGTACCTTCCATATTTTTGATTCCCAGCCACACTCACCTGTCTCTGGGGAAATACATGAAAGGCAAAAACCCTTGTTTGTATGATGGTAGGTTATTTTCAGAGAGAAAAAGGAAAGACTCTAGGGACGCAGACTTTTAACTGCCACTAAAAAGCACATCTGAACTTCTCAGCCACATTTTGAATATACAAGAGCACTGAGCCGTTTCAAGTTTCCATTGGCCTTCACTACCTTGTAAAGCTACTGGAGGATGATCTATGTCAGGTAGTACATCTGTTCTGGTACTTTCACCAGCGCCCATTACAAGATTTTAATTAGAAGTATAGGTCAGAATTTAAACAGTGAAATGTGTGTGTGGGCTGGGGGAAGCAGACTTCACTGAAGATCATACCTTTTATTTATATTCTTCACATTAAATTATCATTTGTCCATATGGTGCATTATTTATTGTGGGTTAGAAAAACTGTGGAGAATCACTTCTCCCAACCTATGAGTGTGCATGCATTGGACTGACAGCATAGAGTTTAACGCCATAGAGTGGTATGGTGTTTTTGAAATCTGCTAGCCATATTGTGAAAAACCTGTGGCCATCACTGAGATTTTCAGATTGATTTTAAGTGAAAGCAGTGTCACAAACATTATATTCATTTTCTACAATTGCCATAGACCTTGGCTGCAGTTCAGACATCATGAACAAGCAGAAACTTGCCTTTGCTGTGTTTATGTGCTTTCCCCCTTTCCCCTTGCACATGGAGAATGTGCTGCATAAAAGGGTGCGTTTACTCCCCCCTCTTGCTGTTGTCTTCTATTTCCTCTGAAATTGGGTCACTGGACCCACAGGATCATCATGGGGGGGACTAAGTTGGAGACTGCAGTGAGAAGGGGGTAAAAATCATCTTCCCACTTTTCATGAGTAGAAGTGCAAGAGTAGCATGAGCAGAAAAGGCACTTAGGATGCAGGTCAAAATTTATTATGGGGGGGGAGGGGAGGTGCAACTATTTCGGCAGGAGAATTAGCAAATTCTAAGCAGTGAAATAATACTAAGTATGCAGTCTACAGTAACTAATACTAAGTACCCACTAAAGGAAAAGTTACTTCAAATGCCAGTGATCTAAACAAGTTACTCAATTTGAAGGAGGGGCAGCAAGAGGCCAGAAAGAGGAGAACAAGGCAAGAGAGAGATTATAGCTACTGATACTGATGTTTCATGGGAGCCAAGCTGCAAGTAAACCAGAATAGCAGAGCCATGTGTTGTCTTGCCTAACGGGGTCAGGATAGGATCCTGACTAGACATGGGGAGAAGGAGTGGTCCAGAGCAATAGAACCAGGGGTCATTTGGGGCCGGAACGAGCCGGAGCAGCACTCTGGCAGCGCAGGAGTGGGCACAAATGGCGGTGGTGGCAAGCCCCGCCCCCAGCTCCCAGTGGGCTTGCAGAGGAAGCAAAAAGAGAAGGGGTTTAAAGTTTAAACCCCTTCTCTCTAGAGTCATGCTGCAGTGGCAGCACAATCTTTCCATTGTATTATATGGCCCCATCCTAAGTTTAAACCCCTTCTCGCTTCGTTCCCCACCACCACCCTGCCTTTGCAGGCCGGCTGGGGAAGGGAAGGGGAGGCTTTTGAAGATGCCTCCCCCCTTTTTTGCTTCCCCTTCTGACACTCATCTGGTGATGTCGGGGCGTGGCATATGCTAATGAGTTATGCTAATAGGTATGCTGATGAGCTCCTGCACCTCTTTTTCTACAAAATGACCCCTGAATAGAACACCTCCAAATAAAGGAATAGAGGGAAGGATCCCAGTGAGGAATTGGGGTGTTTGGGGGCAGGCTATTTGTTGTGGGGCATGGATATAGTGTTTAGAATAGCACCAAGTTCTGCTAATAGATAAATGCATACTGCTTAATTACTGGGGGTGCTTGATTAATGGTATGAGACCTAATGGCTAGAGACTTGCTTACATGCTTAAGTGAACAAACGTAGCGGGAAAGCTCATCCCAGGTCCAAGATTAAGCTGCTGGGGTGACAGCTATATGAAGAAAATGAAGGCATCGTCACTGCAGTAGTCTCTACAGTGCAAAGTTGGTGAAGAGCTCAGCAAATGGAAGTTCCACCCCATACATCATAATGGTCTGGCTTGGGGGGCGGAGCGTCGATCTGAATGAGGTCGGTCGCATAGGGACCGAGCTCCTCGCCAAATCCCCCAGTTCGCTCTATAACAAACACAGATCACAATAAAAGCAGCCCAGGTTATGGGCAAAAATGGCGGGAATAAGCAGAGATCGTCCATGACGTCCTCGAAAATTTTAAAAAACTTTTTAAGCAGAGGAAACTCAGAAAGTATTGTGCCACGCAGATTGCCCACACACTTCGGACTTGCTTACTACTGCAGATTTTCATGCAAGTATGACCTCTTTTAAAATGGATATATTGGGCATGTTTCAAGATCTTATTAAGCCTGTAACAGATCAACTTGAAGCTTTGCAAGTCGCCTTACAAGAAGTTGCCTCCTCGACAGAGACAGCACTTGAGATCAGGCAAGCTAATCAAGAGGGTATAAGAAATTTGGAAGCTCATGAAAAATGGGCAAAGGATAAAATTATATCGCTTGAAAATAAAGTCAGAGAACGGAACCTTAAATTTAGAGGTTTTGAAGAAAAATCGGAAGGAAATACAGACTTGGGGATTTTTCTTGCAACATGGCTTTCTTCAGCATTTAAGTTAGAGGAGGGTGTAGCCCCACTAATTGTAGAGCCGTATAGACTTGGTTCTCTGTTTACTCAACGCACAAGAGCAACAAGGGACATAATAGTAGAGTTTGCAGATAGCCGTACAAGGAAGAAGATTTTAGAAGTTTCACGCACTTCAGGTGGACTTTCAAGACAAAGTGATTCAAGTCTTTCCAGACCTTTCCTCAGAAGCTTTACAAATTCGAAGGAAGCTTAAGCCTATTGTGACGCAGCTTGTAGAAGCCGGCATTAGATACAAATGGCTCCCCACAGGATCGATGCAAATAAGGCACCAAAACAAGTCCTGGACTATAGATGACTTAGAAGGACGGGGGGGTCGTACCAATACTTCTGGTAGCATAGATTTGTGTGAGTTGAATGTATGTCACACCATCCTGTAAAAATTCTGGTCAACTCACGCAAATCTATGCTACCAGAAGTATTGGTACGACCCCCCGTCCTTCTAAGTCATCTATAGTCCAGGACTTGTTTTGGTGCCTTATTTGCATCGAAAGCCCTCGGCCTCTCTGCCCTGTTGTTGGCCCTCCAGAGGAACTGGCTGGCCCCTGTGTGAGACGGGATGCTGGACTGGATGGACCCTCACTGGACTGATCCAGCAGGGCTTTTCCGATGTTCTTAATGAGTAAAACATTGTCTTTCATTTCATTCATTCCGGGAGGGGGGGGTCCACCCCAGTGGTCCCCAAAATTCCCTACTTTTCCTGTTGGAAACCCTGAAAAACTCATCAGATTTTTTTCAAGCTGTACATCTCGAGTGCGAAAAACTTTGCCTAAGGAAGCATTTCGCTCATATTTTGGTTGAGTTTTCTTTCCCCCCCCCCCCCCACTTTTTGTTCATGTCAGTTGCAGATTAGCCAAAGCAGTGCAATAGAATTAAACATTTAATTGTTTTATTGTAAGAAATTATGTTTATATAATACAGTTTGGTGTAGTGGTTAAGAACGGCAGATTCTAATCTGGGAGAACCAAGTTTGATTCTCCACTCCTGCACTTGCAGCTGCTGGTGTGACCTTGGGTCAGTCATAAGTTCTTTCAGAGCTGTTTTCTTCATTTTGGTATATTTTTTGCAACCCCACCCTGGACAATTCCTGTAGAAGTACATTCCTTTGAGGTTCTTTGTATTAATGTCTCTGTTAGAGAATCTACTGTTCACATACAGACTGATTACTTGGGATATCAGGAGGTGAAGAATTAAGAAGTCCTTTAGGGTTATTCGGCCTACAGAATATTATTTGATAAACTTCCTTGGTAGTCCCTTCTGGCATTGTTTTGCATATTTAAACTCAGGAATGAGTTTTCAAAGAATGGCAGGGGTGACCATCACAAACATAAAAATCACCAAAAGTTCCAGACAATGGTGGTGTTATTGAAGTGAGAACAACATTTGCCTCTGGGAATGTAAGCACAGATAGGTTCATGACAGTAGCAATAATCGCATTATGAACTGTTCATTGTGCCCTGGGGAGACTTCCTGGCCCTTAATGGTCAGGCTCACATCATTCCATCTTGCATCCTGCCTCAGCCTATTCTTAAACTGATGCTGACTGCTCAAAAGCTGTCATCTGAAATGCCAAAGGTCTTCAGAATTGACAAGTGGCCAGTACAGGGATGGATAAAAGTTAGCTAAAGCAGACTCCTGTATCAAAGGTTTCTATCGTGCTTATACCCCTGTGCATGCATGTGCACGCACACACACAAACGTTTTTGCTCAAATCTCACTGATTTCAAAGGAACATTAATGCACAACTGTGAGCAGAATTGTACCTTGGGAGACTGAGAATTGTTACTGCATTCCAATTTTTAAAATTTTGGTGAATGAGCATAAATTAACATTTAAGTACTTACTTTTGAGACTGATCCAAACTTTCATAGAGCTTCAATGTCCCTATGAAGTTCTGTACAAAAATTGGGTGCTTCATACTCTTTGGTGCCAGGAAATGTTCTGTGTGAGCATTTCCACTATGTATGTGGAGCATTCCCCAGCACTGAAAAAGACTGAGTCCCCCTTCTTGAATAACGCTTTGTGTGTGTGTGTGTTGGAACACCTGTAAGTGTGACTGAAATTAATGCTGGAAATTGTTTTATCAATGCTTTTACATTTATTCCATTTATTCTACAGTTGTGTCCACAATACTGGCCTGAAAATGGGGTTCACCGCCATGGTCCTATTCAGGTGGAGTTTGTTTCTGCTGATTTAGAAGAAGACATTATTAGCCGGATATTCCGAATTTATAACGCATCAAGAGTAAGGAACTGATCAATTATTTGCTTATTTCATTGATGAGAAGGAAACAGAAACAAAAGAAAATAGATCTGTATATTAAAAGGGCAAAATTGGTTAACTGAAATTTTTACACATAGAAAAGAAAAAATAGTGTTCATAAATCATTACAATTTAGTGTTACATAATGTAATTACAATTACTTTAGCACTGAAGAAAGGAAAAGAAATGGCTTATCGAAGTGACAACTCATGTGAGATATGTTGTGTATTGTATAGTAAGTTGTGTAATTCTGTGTTGTTACTAGAATCATTTATCTGGGATGGGGGGGATTCATTTTCAGTAGAATAGCTGGTGGTGAGCCACTGAGTTAGACCACTGAGCACAAAGCCAGTCTATCTGCTAGGTAAACTGTACGCTCAATGGCATCAGATCAGGGTACACAGCTTGGGAGGAGGGGATTTGACCCTTCTGTCCCTGCTTGGTGTTGCTACTCAAAATCAGGCCCGCTGTACTCTTATTAACCTTCTAAGGGGCAACATTTAAGAACTGTTCTTCCTCATTTAAAATACTAGTAAAAGGGCAGAGACCCCAGTTCTGTCTAGTGAAATCAAGCTGAGATGAAAGGGTGTGGCCCTGATTCAAATTGCAGCTGCACGCAAGAACAATTTGTCTTTGACAGGTATTAGTGATCTCTTTGAATCTGTTTTGGACCTTTCCTAGCCCTTTTAATTGGAGAATGCTAAGGGCTTGGACCTCAGATCTCATGTTTTCTTGCAAAGCAGGCACTCTGCCAATGCCCCACAATAAGAGGAACTTTCCAGGTGAGAAATAAGTTCCTAATACAGATCTGTTTTCAAGTCTCCTGCTTCACATCTGAGGATTTGTAGCCAAGAAAACAATCAAGTCCTTCAGCTTTGTGTTCCTTTGCATCTTTCTGGATGTGAAACTGAAACTTGTTCTGTAAACATTTTACATTTATAAAATTAGTGCTGTAAAGGTATTCCCATATGCAAGCATCAAAATATATGTTCAGTGTATTATTCATATTTTCCCTAAAAACCCTCACCATATACTATTTTTAAAATAGATTTGCAAAAGTCTACCACATTCAGCATTATTTTAATAGTATGTTTCCATATAGTACACTTAGGCCACATTCAGATTTCACTTTAATCAAGCATCGAAAAGTAATGTGCACAAACCAAAGTTGTTCCTCTCACATTGAGAATCCTGGTTTGAAATGTAGTTGCTCACAATGTAATCAAAGTTTGGTTCCCCAACACTGATTCTAATCCTGGATTTGTCAGGTCTTGAACAAAACTCACTTCCAACAACTCTCTTGGCAGTGATTTGTTTATTGAGAGATAAAGAGGTTTCAAGCGTGGACGATCTGTGTCAGAACTGACTCCCTTGGCACCAGTTCTCGTATTGTACATAATTCAAACAGCCCCCCCACCTTATGACCAGTCCAATCACGCCAATACATCCAGCCCCCCAAAATCTACTGTGCACCATTAGCCCTTCTCCAACACCTTTCAAGTATAGGGTTACATTATATAGCAGTGTTTGGTGCTCAAGGACAAGCACGCATTCTTCCCATGGAAGGGAGGCCCCGCAGAGACGCCATTACAAGCGAGCGCTACTCCTAGCAAAGCAATTCCACACACTCACATGCTCCCCCCTCCCAGCCAGAATGAAACAGGACGATAAGCATAAAGAGTCAAAGTCAGACTGACAGTTAAGAAACCTATGGCAAATGAGGCCCGAGTTTGACAGGATTAAACTTTGGTTTAGGATAGCAGTTAATGGAGTTAAGAAACCTATGGCAAATGAGGCCCGAGTTTGACAGGATTAAACTTTGGTTTAGGATAGCAGTTAATGGGAGGAAACTAATTCCATTTACTCATGCTGAGCCAGTCTATGCTCTCCTTTATTCATGTATCGTTCATTCATTCCTGTTAAACTGGAGTTTGACAGCCATTTGGGGTTAGAAAACAGGAAGGGGAATAAGCAAGGCATGCATATGATCAGGGCAGGCAGGTTTGTGCATATTTATTGTCTAGTTGCCAATAAATTCACAGCAAGTACTTCTTTCAAGAAAACAAAATTTCCAACCCTTACAGTTTTATATGATGGTTTTCCCTTTTTGTGCAGGAATTAAGGGTTCATGAAAGAATTTGAGGTTTTAATATGGCTGCCAGGTCCCCACTGGCCACAGCGGGGGATGAAGGAGTAGAGTTACCAAAATCAGGTTGGCGATCTCCTTGAGATTTGGGGATAGAGCCTGGGAGGACAGGGACCTCAGTGGAATACAATATCACAGAGTCCATTCTCCAACCATTTTCTCCAGAGGAACAAATCTCTGTAATTTGGAAATGAGCTGTAATTCCAGGGGATCTTCAAGTCCCACTTGGAGGCTGGCATCCCTAGATTTTAAACAACAATTGTGAAGCTTTTGGATATTTTTGAAATCTGAAGTACCATTTTAATCCTTGTAAATCAGTATTTTTACATATTTAGAGTTACTGGGAATCAGAGAAGGGTTTTTCCCCCTTCCTTCTCTGTATTATATGTAAGGAAAAAATTATTCCAGTTTTCTTAGATAAAATAAAATATATCTTTTCAAAGAAAAGAAGATTTGCTCTGTATGAAGAAATCTTTATTTAGTATGTTAATGGTAATTTTTTCCCCCTTCCTTCTCTGTATTATATGTAAGGAAAAAATTCTTCCAGTTTTCTTAGATAAAATAAAATAAAATATATCTTTTCAAAGAAAAGAAGATTTGCTCTGTATGAAGAAATCTTTATTTAGTATGTTAATGGTAAGTCATCAGGCTGTGAAAGTTCTCTCTGAAAAATTGAAAATGACAAGCTATAAGAAAGAGCAGTGATAATTTAAACTCTGTGGCAGATTCCAAGTTGTTAGCCAGTGATTGCTATAATATTAATCATCATATACTGGCCTTTTGCAGCTGTACTGTTGTTCCACTCCACTGTTAGTATTTCACCCTATTTAGGACATCATCTTAATAACTCTGAGATTCAAGTACTAACTCCTTAAATGCAAATAATTTTAGTAACTTGTAAGCAGTAATCTGCTTTAATTAAAATATCAGTTCTGATGAGAATGTGTAATACATATCTTTTCTGGATTAGTATAAATAATGCTGTTTTTTATTCTCCTCCTGCTGGTTGGATCCCCACAGCCCCAGGATGGGTACCGAATGGTGCAGCAATTTCAGTTCCTAGGATGGCCCATGTATAGAGACACACCTGTGTCCAAACGTTCTTTTTTGAAGCTCATACGTCAAGTGGACAAGTGGCAGGAAGACTACAATGGAGGAGAAGGCCGTACAGTTGTCCATTGTTTGTAAGTGACTGAAATCTGAAGGTGATGGCCACTATCTTAGATGGTTGTTAGACAAATTCATGAAGGATATGCCATATGGCAGTATACCACCAAATACCAGGTGTTGGGGACAATAAGCAGGGCAGGGCTGTTGCCTTCATGCTGGCTTTAGAGCTGCCTGGTCATTGTTGCTTATTGTGACAGAGAAAACAGATGGATACTGATATATGGATATTTGTGACAACTGAAGGAGATGTACATTGAAATGTGGTGTTGAAGGAGAGGTTTATGGAAACTGTGGACCCACCAGAAAGCCAAATAAGTGTGTTCCAGATCAAATCAACCCTGAATTCTCCCTAGAATCTAAAACAACTAAACTGAAGCTAGTTTGGTCACATTATGAGAAGATAAAAGTCAGTGGAAAAGACAGTAATGCTAGGAAAAGTTGAAGGCATTAGGAAAAGAGGAAGACCCAACATGAGATGGATTGACTCAAATCAAGGAAGCCACAGCCCTAATAACAATAGGACGTTTTGGGAGACAAAAATTCAAAACCCTTTCTTCTCTGAGCTCTGCAGTTCCTAGCCAGTTCTTCCCCCCTTGCAGTGCAGATGCTGTTAAAAATGTATTTTTAAAAGATGAGAGATCTAATCGATCTCCCATGTCTCATCTAGGGTCACAGTGAAAGTAGCCTACAGCTGAGCCAGTATCTCAGATGAGCTGGGCCCACCTACTCTCCTTCACCTACTCTACTAATATGCCATTCAGATTTATCTCTGCCACCTCTGTCCTTGAGGACTGAAAGTCTGGTGGAGGATATCCATCTGAAGCAAAATGCTATACTTCAGAGAAGTGTGCTTAACAAATTTTTTTAACTGCTTCTTCCCAAAAGTTTTCTAAAATGGCTTTACTTTCCAGAAGCTCACGGACAAGTAGTTTTTACCATTTATCGAATGGAAGTCTTAATCCTTAATCTTGTGAGGTTTAGCTCATTAATGCTTTGGGATCCACAACTGGGAGGTCCTTTTTAATGCAAATTGATATTATCACTATCTTTTCCTTATAATATCAATAGCCATGCTACATCAGACACATACTTGCATGTCACTTCTAGGTGGCATAGAAAGGAAAAAATTCTAACACAATCCTTTTAAATGACTTTATTTTAATTAAAATGCTCACAGAATGGCACAATATCAGCCCGTGTTTTGGCAGCGGGGAATGTTCTTTTCATGCTGCCTAGATGTGACAGATGTGCCATATTGTAGATTCCTTTGAAAATCAGCCGTTTGTGAGCTCTGGATTTAAAAAGCTGCAAGCTAACTAGTCTGCACTCAAGTAATTATTAAGGTTTATTATTTTCCATGAAGTGCAGCCTAAAGATGCTGATTAGAATAGCTGTGGAAATAATAGTTTCCAAAAGCAAAGAGATTCTCTTGAAGATTAAAAATAACCAGAGATAAAGCTCTACTAAATGCTATATTTAATCATGCATCTGAACATTTATTCCTCACATTTTTTTGCAGCAAGTCACTTTGTATTCTCTTATGCTTCACACTGGTGTAGTATCCATAATCCCACCTCCAGCACAAATTCTTCTTGGTTTCAAATAGTAGTTCATGCCAACCTAAGCCTTAATTATGGCTAAGGTTGGTCAAGGGAGAGCAGAGGAACTTTCCAGCCCAAAAACCGAGGGCTGGTGGGAGGGAGTGCTCTGCTTGGCTTTCTTGAAGAATCTAGAACAAGTCATTCTACAGTCTGATAATATAACTGGATTAGTTACTTTGAACCCAACCTGATAAAACAATGATAAATGGTTTAAATCAACAAGAAACATTCCAAATTCTAGTTCCTAAAAAGACTGCAGTTTGATTTGGAAGATCAGGGGTCATTTGGGGGGGGACGCGGGGGTACACCATCCCCCCGGGTGAGGTGCGGGAGGGCGGGGCCTGGAGCTCCCTGCTGTTGCCCGCTGGAGGTCGCCGCCGGCTGTGGGGAGGACACACTTCCGGTGATGTCAGGGGGTGTGGCATATGCTAATGAGTTATGCTAATGAGTCCCTCTAGCTCTTTTTCTACGAAATGACCCCTGTGGAAGATAATATACATGTGCTGTATTTCTTGTACCCTAATGGGGAGGGGGGAATCCACCTGAATTATTATTTTTTTACTAATTTTATTGGTGGTATATATTGGTATGTAGCTGGACCTTTTTGCTAGTTTTCAGGAAGAATACATGTATTTTTCTTAAGGAATTTCCACCAACAGCGTGACTTGCCTAGGAAGTAAGATGATATTGGTATTGTGGGCAAAGACCCTTTGTCCTAGCAGCCTTCTGTGAAGTTAAGACACTGTTTGTTTAAAGAAAACCTGACAATGTTGAGTGTGCCTTGCTTACAGCATGTGAACCCAAACACGTATGTCCTTGTCAGGCTTCAGGAGGCAGATACAAATGGGCATTGGTGTGTCAACATTTGAATCATCTTATTTGAGCAGAAAGATCCACACACATACAATAAGAGCACATAACATAAATCTAAAAAGTAATCAAGCTATTTTGTTGCTTTTCTTGCAGAAATGGAGGTGGCCGCAGTGGGACCTTTTGCGCAATCAGTATTGTTTGTGAAATGCTTCGACACCAGAGGGCTGTTGATGTATTCCATGCTGTGAAGACCCTGAGGAATAATAAGCCTAACATGGTGGACCTTCTTGTATGAGCTGTTTAAACTGCACCACTAAGTAGAAAAATTATTTCTATCATCATAAGGCATTTTCAAGATATATGGTGATAGCTTTTCATAAAAGCAAGCCTGTTTTTTTCAAAGGGGGATAATGAAATCTCTTCACTTGTAAAAGTATTTTTACACTACTTTCTTCCTGAAGAGATTTTGCCTGTCTGTGCTAGAATTTTTGTGAGAAGTTTAAAACTTCCAACAGAACATCCTTATTAATTTTCCCTTCTGGCAGCGCAATCCACGTGGATTCTGCCTTTGTGTGGCAGAAATAATAGTTGTGTGAAATGAAATGCCAGATTTTCAAATTATATATTTTATAAATAGCTTAATCTCCTAATATTTATCAAGACTGTGAATTTCGATTTGACATTCAGAGTACTGCATTTAATTATGGCTGTTCTATCTCACAGAAAGATTAAAAGAGTTCAGAAACAAAGGGCCAAGAGCAATTATTTCCTTACAGAATGTTTTATGGATCTTCTTAAAATGTAGAATTGCTGAAACACTAGCAGCTGTTATATAAAAATGATATAATGTAACTCAAAGCACCCAAATACTGTGTCTATTTGCTCCCTCTGTAATGGTGTGGGGGTTGTATGGTAACCATCCTGTTAAGTAGCCATAAAGAAGAAGGAATTACAGAACGAATCGTAGGTTACATTAAGGCATCACATCAGCCCTGCCTAAACATATACAAACCCAGCCTGGTGCTCTTACCTTGTTCTTTCTTGGGTGGGATGCAATAAAAGAATCCTGGTTTAAATCGAAGTCTGGCTTCCCGTGATGCATGATTGCAGACTTAATCACAGCTAGCTCTGCCTCTCCCCTCCCTTGTTTTCAAGCCAGGATTCTTAACCAGGACTTAATCCCAGTTTAGAAACCTGGTTTGTAGTCTTGAAACTATCTCCAGTCAAACCCCGTGCCTGCATTCATGCATCATGATAACGGGAGCTGCTTTTAAACCAGGATTACTTCGTTATGCTTGTCATGGCAGGGGGACAGAGTAGGGCACACGCAAGAGCATGGCAACAAGGAAGGCTTTTGCACATTCAGGCTTAATGTCCGTTTGATGTGACACCTGAATGAAGCTGTTGTTTGGCAAGCTGCTAAAAGGCTATATAGATAGCTAAATAAAGCACCTGGGTAGTGTGATTTATTTAATTACGGTTATTTGTCAGATTTTTGTCCAAGCCTTCCTCCCAAGCATTCAGAGCATCATACTTGGCTGTCTTTACCACCCCACCCCCATTCTCTGTAATCTAAATCACCAGGTGTTCTGCTTATCGATTTGCTTGTATGAATAATCTCATTGCCAATGCAGACTGGATTTCAAAACTGATTCACATTGACCATGTTTGAATACAAGCAAATAAACTGAACGGGAGAAAAATGGTTTCATTAAATAATTTTAATTAATAGAACAGAAAACGATGCCCTTCATTAAGTCCTTGTGATGACTGACCTTGTTGTTTTTTTGCCTTTGATTTTTCAGGATCAATATAAATTCTGCTATGAAGTGGCTTTGGAGTACTTGAATTCTGGATGATGGTGCAAATAACGTTGGGGGGGAAGCAAAAAAACGTTCACCACCACGATCAAAAGTGAATCACTTCATGATATTTGTGTGTATGAGATGAGGACTTCTCAGTGTTATGCTTCTATTGCTTTGTATTGGCTCTTTTTAAGAGCCCCGAAGAGTCTTTCCAAAACTGCTTGCACTGTCCCTTTTCCACAATGTGGCTGTTGCTTGAGACACCTACAGTCCCACAGTAACACAAATGCACTCCAGAGGTTGGAAACAGCTGCCCTATATATCCATCAACTCAATAGACCAGCCTAGTCATTCAGTAAATTAAAGAGCACAATTCTATTCTAATGAATAAATTTGTACTTTTCTGTTGTACTTTTTTTGTTGCCGGTGATCCTCTGTTGTTATTGTCAGAACCTAGTGTATATTTTTGTTCTGTGGAGAATGCCATCTAGCATTTTGGTAATGTATTTTTAGTTACGTTTGTATCCTATCTGCTCCTAATAAAACAAAGCATCTGTAGCTTAAACTGAACTAATAGCTACACTCTCCAGACCACATTTGTTTTATGGAGTTGTAATTTCTGTCCGACTTGTATTGTTTCAGAAGGGAGAGACTTGATAGAAGTCAATTAAGAAAATGAGAAAAAAAAATACAGGATGATCAGATTAATATATCCAAAGCCTTTTCCCATTTGTTTATATTGTAAATATTTTTTTGATTTCATCAAATTATTTATTCATTAAAAAGAAATCTTTTGTGAAGCACAGTGAGTGACAATCATTTTTATTAAGCCCTGGAAATGCTTTACTGTATGATATTGTAAACATTTGTTTACCCTGTCTGGATTCTCAGCTCAATAAATAATTACGAATATAATAAAATCTCATTTAATTTATAGCAATAGATGGCATACAAATGTCTTTAGCTAAACTTTGTAAAAGGTTCTCAAATGATGTGAGCTGGAAATTCCTGCCCCTGAGGGACCACAACCATTAGGTTATGTGTTTTGTTCCTAGATTCTCCACTCAAACCCTGCCATCCCCAGACAGTATGTGAAGACTTTTATCTCCAGATAAAAGGACCAGGTAGTCAGTGATGTGAAAGACCTCTGCCTAAGACCCTGGAGAGCTGCAGCTCCTCTGAGTAGACAACACTGACTTCAATGGACCAAGGGTGATTCAATATAAGGCATCTTCATGTGTTCATGATTACATCTCCAAATATAGTTTCTGGGGCTGCTTGTGCATGGCCTTGTCAGAAAATATACAATAGTAACACACACACATGCCTTTGTGTACTTTTCTGCCAAACTGCTGATTGGCGCAGTTCCCAGTTGTGCAACAATCAACGTATGTGCTACCCTAATGCCTGCACTTCCACTCAGTTAGATCAGGGTCTTTTTATTTATTAAACTGTATAGCAATGGTATTCCCAGTAGTCATGTATGGCTGTGAGAGTTAGACTATAAGGAAGGCCGAGCGCCGAAGAATAGATTCTTTTGAACTATGGTGCTGGAGAAGACTCTTGAGAGTCCCTTGGACTGCAAGAAGATCAAATCAGTCAATCCTAAAAGAAATCAACCCTGACTGTTCCCTGGAAGGCCAGATAATGAAACTGAAGCTCAAAAACTTCAGAAGACGGTGGAAGACCGGAAGGCCTGGCGTGATCTGGTCCATGGGGTCGTGAAGAGTTGGACTCAACTGTGCGACTGAACAACAACAAAATAGCTAGACATGTGCACCAGAAAAAAGCAGTATTTTAGGGATCTGGATTTCATGGAGGGTATAAGTATTTGTATCCTGGATTACTTGAGTCTCCAATACCAGTCCAGTATTTGGATTCAGGGTTTCTTCAGGATTCTGAAATTAGTCAGGTCCATTAGTGTCTATAGGGAATCTATGGGCTGAAGGGGCAGTTTTTCTACCAGATAAAACCAAAATGTCAGTGTAACTGATGCTGCCTGTCCACTAACACACACACACTCAAATTTCCAGTGAATCGGACCAAGAGTCCAACTGAATGTCCTGGAAAGTTAAAATGTTTCCCCCAGTGGTATTTTTAATGGTATGGTTTCTAATGTCAGACTTATGTCAATTTGTTCTTTGTCATAGGGACTAGCCTGTTTGTCCAATGTAGAGGGTAAAAAGGCA